TACGGTTGCACCAAGAAGCCCGCCATGAAGAAGCCTGCCACCTACAAGAAGTGAATGGCATTCACTTCAATACTGTATGGTAGTGTATGCTTGCAATAGACAAGCAGTTTTGGGCACTACATACAAGGTCCATAGCGGTCCATAGCAATAAAAGCGCATTGCCTGCATACGTCTGAAGCTCAGTCTGCCCAAATGCGAACAATTCTCACATTTGAGGCTGAAATTGGTAAATTTCATGCTTTTAAAAAACCCACCCCCCATGATGGGACGCTCTCCTTAATTAGCTGCTTCATTGCGCATAGTAGCTGCCCTTCTTGAAGCCCAGTGGCTGTTGGCCTTTGCGCTTTCTGCAGGTGCTGCGCAATGATGTTTATGCGGCTTGAGCTTGCACCGGTGTTAAAATCAATGGCTCTCTTGAGAGGATGAGTTCTTGTTAGTTAGTTGGTTGTTCATATGCCTGTAATGATTTACGATGATACATGATGAGTTAGTTGGTCATGGTGTGTACTAGTGGGTAATCTGTTGTGTTTGTTAGACGGCCCATATCATGTGCATTGTGATGTTGAGAGCAGACATGCTTTGTGACTTGAAGTCAACGCACCGCAGCTTGCTGAGGGCTGAAGTGTGTGAGGTCGCAACCGGATTTGGAAGCTGTGACTTGGCTAGTCATGGTGGTCCCAAGAATGGGAAGGACCCAAGCATCCGGACATGGAGCCCGAGTCAGAGACAACATGTTCGACAAGCGCCAGTCAGGCATGGCGCCGAATTCAAGCACTGCAGTGGTGCAGGCCAATGAATCGAGACGGCAAATCATGAAGCAGTTTTACAAGGTGTCCTTTAGGATTTGCCCAGAGACATTCGATCCAAGCTGGGGTCTGCCAGTGGATGACAATGGCGCATTCGATTGGGGCAGCGCTGCGCGCTAAGAAGAAGCTGCAGAAAATAATGGTCTGGCAGCTGCGGCATAATCATTGTGAGCTGAGCAGGACGACTCTGCGCACTGCCCAGGTGGACCATCATTGTACGCTGTAGCTTGAAATCCATGATGCCATGGTTGATGAACAAGATGTGTTCTTGCGCAGGGATGAAGTTGCTCTGCGCAGTGTGGGCAGAGACCGTGAAGCTCTGCCTTCACGCCATGCCATGCCTCTGCATGACATGCGTGGCGCCATGCCTGGCTGCATCTGCCTGCGTGACATGCGTGGCGCCATGCCTGGCTGAATCATTTGCGGCAGGGGGGTTTCTTCATCACTGGGACCCGGGCCCGAGTTACCCACTGTGAATTGCAGGTTGCAACGTAAGCAGAAGCTGGGCGCTTCCACGGCATACCCGCTGGCAAACATGAATGAATCAAAGAACCCCACCCGTGGCCCTGACAGGGCCCGTTTGAGCCAGCTAGGGTAGTTAGGGACCGTGAACTCAGCTCAGACAATGACCCGTGATTGGCGTGCGTCAAACAAAAACACTCAATGGCCACAGTCACTCACACCCAATTACTATTTGCACAAGTCGAAGATGAGACTCTGTTACATCGCAAGGCCGAGATCAGCGCATCTAGTCAGTTGGCAGGACAAAGGCGATGCCGTCGGCTGCTGTTCAGGTGCTCCTCAAAGTCAAGCAACGATCGATCTTTCCAAAGTCTGAGGGACTTCCGCCTGGTCAAAAATGTTTCAACGCACTCCGGTAAGGTGAGCCCCCTGACTGCCGTGAAACAGGCACACATCCCAGCAGCACCACAATGAATGCTCATTCCAGGTGAGAGAAACAATATGTTGCAAGGAGAATGATCTTCATTATGACGGAGCAAATGGTGCGCCATGCTATCCCACGCTTTCCTGAATCTCCATTTTGCTTGAAACCGTTGGACACCATGTCTGACCAGTCCTGCGCCATCAGAATCATCGCTCGAAAATTCCATGTAGCAGATGTCGTGGCTGCAAATGCAATCGTTCCAGTGGAGCGGCTCGTTTGTCAAACGGGGTGCTCTGGTGTCGCTGCCCGTGGCCACAACACTGAGGACCCTGTCCCAGATGAATTCGGGCTTGAAAGCCGATGCCAGCCCGCCCAGCCACACATTCAAATACTCATCGTTGAAGACACGCGAACCATCAAAAGGCCAACATGCAAGGTTCTCCTGCTCAGCTTGTGACAATTTGAACCACACGGGTCCACGAGTATGCATCCATTTCTTGCCACTTGTCGATCGCCCTGAATTCTGTTTCCAACAGAGCGCATATACAGCCCGTCTCCCCGTGAAACCTGCACACATCAAAACGGGGCAGAAAGTCAATGTCACCCTGTGAATCAGTGGAGGAGACTACAGCTTGCTCAGGTTCGTCAGACTCGGCGCCCGAGTTGGGCACATCAGTGGCATCATCATGCCCAGTGACTGCGCAGCAATGTCATTCAGTTATAACACACTGCGCAGCAATGTTGGGTTGAACCAAGCAGCAGCAGTCACGAGTGAATGAATCAATGAAACTGACCATGAAATGTCGTCAAATGCGAAATGTCACGCATGCAACGGCATCGTTTAATACCCCAATTGCCACCGCAGCTAAATTATTAATTGCGCCTGGGTGAAACTGAAATTACACGACTACTTGCCTGCATTGAGTTCTGACTCGTCAGTGCGCAAATAGGAAATGTCCTCCAATAAGTGAGCACAAAGGATGCCAAATCACAGCTTGCGCAAAGCGCAAGTGCCTCCAGCGGCATTGCAACCTTCTGCGTGCCCGAATCCCACGGCTGAAGCACTAGACTTAGACAATGATGCCAAATCACAGCCCGAGAGGCGCTCAAACGGCCTTGGGCTCTGTCAAGTAGCCCAAGATCCACGCTTTTAGGCACCACTGCAGCAAGACTTTGTGCTTCTAAGAAGCAAAAGCCTTGGTGCAGCGGCGTCTGCCTTCCATGCACATCGGCCACTGTGCAGCGGCGCCTGCCTTCCATGCACATCGGCCACTGACTGGGGGGCCATGCCTGGCTGCACCTCTTCCAGCCATCCTGCGCAAACACACTACGCAGCAATGTCATTGAACTATAATAACACACCGCGCAGCAATGTTGGATGGAACCAAAAAGCAGCAGTCACGAGTGAATGAACCAATGAAACTGACCATGCAATGTCGTCATGTGGGACAGGAGTTGCAGTTGTTGCTGCGCAACAATGGCAACTCTTGTTCCATGGCTTTCCTGCAGATGATGAAATGCGTCCTGCATCCGCGGGAACTTCACCTGTCTCTTACTGCCTCGCCTGTCTGAATCATCTCTTTCTTCTATTCTATGCATTTGAAATGTAGCGTTAGGCACCATTGGTAATGCAGAGGATGCTGTGATGATACTTATCATGACAGTCGTCATCTTTATCATCATTCTCCGAGTCAGCATTGGTGATGCAGAGGATACGTCGTCACGATTATCATCATGACTGCTGGGAAATCCGGGAGTCCAAGCACTATTGGCCGCCTCCGGATTTCTACAACATCCGGGGCGCGGCCATCACCTCAAACCCCGGATTTCGGGAAAATCCGGGAGCAACCTGCTGGAACCTAAGCACTACTTGCCGCCTCCCAAAATTCAACAACATCCGGGGCGCGGCCGGCAGCTGGAAAATCCGGGGGCTGGCCGTGTCCTTGGCTCCGGATTTCGGGAAAATCCGGGAGCAACCTGCTGGAACCTACTTTCCAAGCACTACTTGCCGCCTCCCGGATTTTGTACAACATCCGGGGTGTGGCCATCACCTCAAACGCCGGATTTCAGGAAAATCCGGGAGCAACCTGCTGGAACCTACTTTCCAAGCACCATTTGCCGCCTGCCGGATTTCTACAACATCCGGGGCGCGGCCGGCAGCTCAAACCCCGTATTTCGGGAAAATCTGCCAGCCGTGTCCTTGGCTCCACGGTTTGAGCTGCCGCCGTGTCGGGAAAATCCGGGAGTCCGAGCACTATTGGCCGCCTCCGGATTTCTACAACATCCGGGGCGCGGCCAGCACCTCAAACCCCGGATTTCGGGAAACTGGAACTTGCCGCCTGCCGGATTTCTACAACATCCGGGGCGCGGCCCAGCCCCCGGATTTTCCCGAAATCCGGGGTCTGGGGATCGGATGATACCCATCATAACGCATCCTCAGCATCACCAGCAGTCATGATGATAATCGTGACGACGTATCCTCTGCATCACCAATGCTGTCTTGGATAATGATGATTAAGATGACGACTGAAACATCGCGTATATGCAGGGTTTAGGCCATGTGGCTGACATCATCAGGGTCTGGGGTTGGGCCTGGGTGATGCTTCAGCGGGGCTTGGTCTGCATCATCAAGACTCCTTCCAAAAAACAGTATCGGAGGGATATAAGCGAGGCTCATTTTCGCGCATTTTGGCGCCAAGCGCTGCCGGGCATGCCGGCGATGCTGGGCCCTCGCTCTACAAAACGCTGTAAATACCATCAAAAACTGCTGTGCTGAGCGGTTTGTTGTTGTTCTGTCCGTTTTGCTGTTGCTGTGGCTGGCTCGCGTGCTGCGCGGTCCTTGCTTTTTTCCCGTTGGTTTTCGTGGCGCGCGCGCGCGCGACCCCAGCCACAATACGCTGCTATTTACGGTGTCTTGTTGCATTTGCGTTTCCGGGCTGGCTTGCGGGCTGCTCTTTTTGGGCTGCTTTTTCTGGGTCCTCTGGCGCGCGCGCGACCCCATGTCAGCCTTCTGGGTTGGGGCCCGGCTGGGGCCCAGAAAGCTGGCATCCCCTGCATTATCTGGGGCTGGGGTGGGCAACATAACCTAACCAACCATATCATGGCACAGAATATGTTTCTCATACAAAAAACATGACATGGTATAACTTCAAAGAGGCGTAGCCGGCTAGAGGCCGCAGGCCCAGAAAATACTTGCAAAGCTGGAGAGCGATCGGTATCCTTATGCAATTGAAAGCTTAGCTTGGCTCAAAGGTTCAAGGGTTGCTTTCCGGTCCTTTTTCTGCGCCCCTTCGCTCTCGGTTCCGGACCATTGTGGCCGCCACACGCACTGGCACCTGCCAAAGTTGCAAGCCTTTAATCTGATTTTTTGCATGCGCGTGACGCCGGCCTGCGGCGGCAGTGGCTCGATGGTCCACCGGGATGCCTCGCAAGCGACGGTGAAACTGGCTGACATCAAAGCTGGTGCTCCAAGATAATCACCGACATTCGTCACTGCACGATCCATAGGTGCCAGGGCTCCTCAATGTAAAAGAGGACACAATTAGAATTGGATAAACATTGGAAAGTGGCAAACTGATGAGACCGCGATGATGACAAGTGGCTTTGACCGTGCTCCGACTTGAGCACAAGCTGTGCGCACCGCGCTTTACGGCAGGGATGGAGGGTGGGCGGGTGGATGGTTGGACGAGGCAGAACAGTGAAGCGCGCTGGCCTCCACATCCAAACGTTCTGCAGTGCAAGGGGCACCGTCGCTGCCTGGCCCAGCAAAGGTTCGGAACCCTCAGAAGAAGTCCTTAGAATAGGGGAGATCCCAACATCTCTCCCAAGGAGCAGCTTGCCTGGTGTCGCCAAAACATTGTCGGCAGAACGCCTGTTTGCTGCATTTGCTAAGCAAGAAATCTTGTTGAAACCAAGCACGTCCCGAGATAAAGTGACAAGTGGAATACTCGGATCAAAACAAGACGTGTCGTCTTGCTGAAGTCGGCTTGGTTGGGAAGCTGACTTCGCAGCAAACCCGAGAGCTATGCCCAGCTCAGCGTCCTCACTCCTGGTCCGACTCCTTCTCAAGCGGCTTCACGTCACCCTCGTCACAGCAGCCCAAGCGAGTGCCCTCGAGCGTGGGGCAGCATGCGCCTTGAATCTTGAGGGCAACGCAGGCCGGGTACATGGCGCACTCAGAAAGAGGCTCCGGAATCTTCACTTCGAGAACCAGGGCAGGACCGCTGCAGCAGCTCAAGCTCACCTTGTCTGTGTTTGGGCAGCATTCTCCCTCAGTCAGCCCCACAGCCACGCAGGCAGGATATTTGGAGCATATGGTGCCATTGATGCCGGGCAAGGCCGGAACTGCTGCCTGCGCGGCATCAACAGCTCCCTGGATTCCGCTCTGAACCTCACCAGCTGCTGTCTCCACTCCTGCGCCCCAAGTGCTCTGGGCTTCCTGGCCGTTCAACTTGGCAAAGCCCGCCATCTGCTGCAATCCAGAGCTCACGGTATCACTGGCCTGTTGGAGATTGTTGCTGGCCGCATCGCCTACTTCAGAGCTCAAGGAACCACTGGCCTGCTGAAGTCCACTGCTGACTGCATCACCTGCCTGCTGCAGCCCACTCGTCGCCGCATCGCCCACTTCCTGGAGCCCAGAGTGTACGGCGTCAGCCGCGTCACCAGCAGCAACACTGGCCTGCTGAAGTCCGCTGCTTGCGGCGCCGCTTGCAGTGTCAATCGCATCCACCGGCAGGGTGCAGTCTTTGGGCCCATAGACCGTCGCGAAGTACTTGGCAGGCAGAGGCTTGGGGATAGAGCCTTCATCGGTAAGCAAGCAGCCGCCGTCGGGCCAAAAGGTGAAGTGAGCACAGCCCTCCATGTTTGCGCACCGCTGCTGACACGCCTCCGCGCTTGCCTCCTCGGTCCTGTCGGTGCCCGGCATCTTGTGGGGCTGGGCGTAGAACATGCCTCACAGCGCACACGGCAACCGAGGCAGCTGAGGCGATTAAGCCTGGGCAAGCAGGGCTAACCGATTAACCGGGGCTAAGACCGGCCAAAGACAAGCCGAAACAAACAAATTAGGAGCCAAAGAGTCAGGGATGACCAGCTAAACGTGGGAAACACTCCAACCCCAAGGCCGTCCAAGGCACCCTGCATTAAGCAGCCGCTCTCCTGAAGTTGCAGGAAATTGTTCGTCGTGCGCAGGCCCGAGCCATGGAGGAACGAAACGGCGCCTACGGCCATCAGGGCACTGCTGGCCACAGCACTGGCCACAAGGCCACGTGCCGTCCACCAGCCGCGCTGCGGCTCATGCTGTAGCAGGCCTCCGCAAAGGATCTAAAGACCAATGTCAAATACAAGCTTCAAAATGACACGCAACTCCCCCGAACAAAGAAACAAATCATGTCAGCTCGCTACAGCCCGCCTTCGACATCGGAGGAGATCTCAGCCATGATAGTCTTAGCGGGCCACAGGTACAAAAGCTTGACTTGTGCGAACTAGGCTTGGGCCACACACAGTAAAGGGCGGACCGAAAGCTGACAACGCCGGCCAGAAGAGTCACTGGCCTGCTCCATGCATTTCGTCTCGCAGGTATCGTCCGTTCCTCCCTCCCCCCCTTCCGGCCCCGAAGCATGTCGAAACGGCAAGTCCAAACAGGTGGCGAAGAATGCGTTCGGGCAATGTGCATCGCAGGTGGCAAGCCGGCCCGACTTGTGCGGGAGTTGAGCCCCCTGCCCTGCCCCGCCTAAAAAAAGTCCCAACTGCGCGCGTGGACTTTACACAGTGCCAAATCCGCAAAGGACGTAAACCAGTTTGCACGTAACTGGGCTGCGCTTTGATCGGGCTTTTCTCTGTGCGGATTCTATTTATTGCCGCTACACGGCTACAGGTCGAAAGATTGCAGCGTTGCCGCAAGGCATCACCGACAAAGTGACAAGTGAAATACTCGGATCAAAACAAGACGTGTCGTCTTGCTGAAGTCGGCTTGGTTGGGAAGCTGACTTCGCAGCAACCCAAGAGCTATGCCCAGCTCAGCGTCCTCACTCCTCGGCCGCCTCCTTCTCAAGCGGCTTCACATCACCCTCGTCACAGCAGCCCAAGCGAGTGCCCTCGAGCGTGGGGCAGCATGCGCCTTGAATCTTGAGGGCAACGCAGGCTGGGTACATAGCGCACTCAGAAAGAGGCTCCGGAATCTTCACTTCGAGAACCAGGGCAGGACCGCTGCAGCAGCTCAAGCTCACCTTGTCTGTGTTTGGGCAGCATTCTCCCTCAGTCAGCCCCACAGCCACGCAGGCAGGATATTTGGAGCATATGGTGCCATTGATGCCGGGCAAGGCCGCCGGACCTGCTGCCTGCACGGCATCAACAGCTCCCTGGATTCCGCTCTGAACCTCACCAGCTGCTGTCTCCACTCCTGCGCCCCAAGTGCTCTGGGCTTCCTGGGCGTTCAACTTGGCAAAGCCCGCCATCTGCTGCAATCCAGAGCTCACGGTATCACTGGCCTGTTGGAGATTGTTGCTGGCCGCATCGCCTACTTCAGAGCTCAAGGAATCACTGGCCTGCTGAAGTCCACTGCTGACTGCATCACCTGCCTGCTGCAGCCCACTCGTCGCCGCATCGCCCACTTCCTGGAGCCCAGAGTGTACGGCGTCAGCCGCGTCACCAGCAGCAACACTGGCCTGCTGAAGTCCGCTGCTTGCGGCGCCGCTTGCGGTGTCAATCGCATCCACCGGCAGGGTGCAGTCTTTGGGCCCATAGACCGTCGCGAAGTACTTGGCAGGCAGAGGCTTGGGGATAGAGCCTTCATCGGTAAGCAAGCAGCCGCCGTCGGGCCAAAAGGTGAAGTGAGCGCAGCCCTCCATGTTTGCGCACCGCTGCTGACAAGCCTCCGCGCTTGCCTCCTCGGTCCTGTCGGTGCCCGGCATCTTGTGGGGCTGGGCGTAGAACATGCCTCACAGCGCACACGGCAACCGAGGCAGCTGAGACGATTAAGCCTGGGCAAGCAGGGCTAACCGATTAACCGGGGCTAAGACCGGCCAAAGACAAGCCGAAACAAACAAATTAGGAGCCAAAGAGTCAGGGATGACCAGCGAAACGCGGGAAACACTCCAACCCCAAGGCCGTCCAAGGCACCCTGCATTAAGCAGCCGCTCTCCTGAAGTTGCAGGAAGTTGTTCGTCGCGCGCAGGCCCGAGCCATGGAGGAACGAAACGGCGCCTACGGCCATCAGGGCACTGCTGGCCACAGCACTGGCCACAAGGCCACGTGCCGTCCACCAGCCGCGCTGCGGCTCATGCTGCAGCAGGCCTCCGCAAAGCATGGGATGTGAAGACCAATGTCAAATACAAGCTTCAAAATGACACGCAACTCCCCCGAACAAAGAAACAAATCACGTCAGCTCGCTACAGCCCGCCTTCGACATCGGAGGAGATCTCAGCCATGATAGTCTTAGCGGGCCACAGGTACAAAAGCTTGACTTGTGCGAACTAGGCTTGGGCCACATAAACACCCAACAACATGCCCCATGTCATTCCTAGGTTCAATTCGCTGGGCTCGGGAAAAGCAACTAGAAAGGAAAGCTGACATGCTTTTAAGAACGAGGCACCAAAATACAAACACCAAGCGCGCTGGTTCATGTTGTTTTCCAACTCCCTGCGCCTTGCAAGTTGCTTGGCTCGCATAGAGCCTCCTGCAATTGCAACATGCGTCCGAAGGACAAACAAAACTGACAAGCTTGCATCCATAGAAGGCTGCTTAGCAGGCTGAAGCGCAAACCACGGCAGCTGACAATAACCAGCCTCGGATGATGTGACCCACACTGCATCCAAGGCCCTTGTCCAAGCTTCCACTTGCTCAAAAGCGGAAAAAACAATGTGTTCACCCGTCATGAGTCATGACTCATGACCATTCACTTGAAAACACGTCGGAACACAATTCCTCTCTTGGTGTTTAACCGTTTTCTTGGAAGAGCCAAGGAAATACTGCGGCACTGCTGGCCAACGAGGCCCACAAAGAAGGAAGGTTTGTCTCCTTTCCGACCTCGCTCGGTTTCCTTGGTTTTGTGTTTTGCGTTTTGAACTGATCCAATGTTAGACCTTCAAAATTGAATTGTTTGTTTGACAATTACTTTGTTTTCCAGACCCGCGTGCCAAACAACGAGATGTGGCCAGATAGACCAGCGCTGTGTTTTTTGGAGTACCCAGGAACAACGGTGTAGGTTTTCTCTTGAGGTGTGCCGGGCCAATCTTTTCCCACAGGCAGTGGCAGCACGGCCACCTGAACTAGTGACTAGTGACCCCAAACACACACACAGACACAGACAGACACAGACAGACACAGACACACACAGACACACACAGACACAGACAGACACAGACAGACACAGACACACACAGACACACACAGACACACACAGACACACACAGACACACACAGACACACACACAGACACCCACAGACACACAGACACACACAGACACACACAGACACACACAGACACACACAGACACACACAGACACACACAGACACACACAGACACACACAGACACACACAGACACACACAGACACACACAGACACACACAGACACACACAGACACACACAGACACACACAGACACACACAGACACACACACAGACACACACACCACACAGACACACCACAGACACACACAGACACACACAGACACACACAGACACACACACACACCGACACACACGGACACACACGACACACACAGACACACAACAGGACACACACGAGACCCAGAGAC